TTGCCCGGCGTCGAGGTAGGTAAATGGGTGCTGAATTGAGAATCCTAGCCGCAGCAAAACCTCAAACGGTTCGCCCTTCGCACGGGAGTCAACATGGCGCAGTAAAAATGCAACTTTGAGCCGGGAGACCTCTTCTGTCGGGAGTCTCCTTTCCCGTTGACTGGCCAGGACAACAAACCTCGGCAGTCCTTCGTGGCACGCGCCCAAGCTGACTTCGAAAAAGTTTCACGCAAGCCTCGGTCAAGCCAAGGCAACAGCGATTCTGTGGAGCGCCGGGTGTCCAAGCTGCGGCGGTGGGGTGAACACGGTTGTGCTGCGTCGCGTGTTTTTCAAAGCCGCTGGCGTGCCTTGTCTTAGACTTGCCTTCAACTTACTTGGTAGCGTGAGCTTCCGGGCCACCATCCGTCGTTTAGCTCCCGCACCGCCTTGTATCTGCCAGCGATAGGCGGTGGTACTTCTGAGCGTGGCGGCTTGCTCTTGCGCCGCAGCGACTCGCCAAAGCCCCATGTGCGGGAAGTTGGGGCGGAGGTGGAGGCTCGCGGGAGGGCCGTGGACCGGGGCCCGTCCGGGGCCCGGTCCACGTCGCCTGGCGGCTTCTTGCTACCGGGCGACCGTGCACCGCGGCAGCTGGGGTGTGGCATCTAGATTTCGCCTAGACGCGCACCCCGCCGGCTTGCTTTGTGTGTGTTGAACACGAGGCTGGCTACACTTTTCCTGTTTACGATCACATCTTTCCTTGGGAGCGCTGACGAATATGTTGACGAAAACGCTAACAAAATAACATGTTTCAAAAGCAAGCCGGAGCTGCACGCGCCGCCAAGCCGGTGACTGCAAAAAGAGCTATAGAACCGGGGTGCTATCATTTTGGGCATGCGTGTGTTCCTTTGTCGTTGGTCGTTGGCGCAGCGGGGCGGGGATGCGATCATTTTGGGTGTCTGTTTTCCTTTAGTAAAGGTCTGCGCGCCTAAAGTGTAGGCGTCCGTGAATTAGGTATGCCTTTTCCCCCCACAGAAACCTCAAAAAGGCTACCCTGCCCCGGCACCCGGCTTGGTTTTCTCCCGTTCCGTGCGACGCTGTGACGCCATGTTGCGTCATCGTGACACGTGCACCTTGCTGCAAACCATGTGACAGAACACTTTCCAACCACACGCCGTGTTGGGAGCTCGTTCGACGTTTCGCTGGAAGAGGGCTCAGACAATTGTGGGCAAATGCGTGGTCCCGCAGGCCAGAATGGTCCAAACCTCGGAGGGGTGGCACGATAATTTTGCAAAGTTGACATTGGAGGCTTGGGCGTGGGTGTTGCGTCGCAACAGCGCACCAAAGAATCTGCAGCTGTGTAGCGCTTTACCATAGAATGGCCACTGACAGTTTTGGGGTGTCTCACGAATATGATTTTCTAATTAGAGTCCTTTCCGCACTACAGCCAAGCCACTGGCCAGTTCCCAACTCCCCGACGCCAGGCTTAGTGATATGGTGCCGCGCGCGGAGATGGCCGCGCTCGCCTCGCCCTGGCTGCTCGCCAGTGCTATAGTTGTGCAGTCTGTTTGCACACGGTAGTATTTAATCATAGTCCACCCCAGCACCAGCGTTGAGGGTGTGGTTGATGACCTTCTTGACAAAACCAACCGTTCCGCTTCTGGCACCAGGCCTTGGTTGCCGCGCAAAAAATAAGTTTGTGGCCGCCAGTCTGTGTTTGTACAAAAAAACATGTTTCCATGTCGGATTAGGGCCGAACGACTTTGACGCATTGATAGCGGTTGGCAAAGCGATGACCATTTCGTCCACCCTCCGGCTTCTCTCGGATTTGGCGCTGATGCTGTTGCCTCAGGCTCTACAAGATTTTCCAGGCGGGACTTTTGGGCAAATCGCAGGTGGCGGGTGAGCCTGGAATTCAAACCATTTATGAGTGTATTTTCGTGTTGCCTTGTGGGCTCTCTACTATCCTCGGGCAATGATGTTTTCCCTTGTTGGTCCAACATAAAGTTGGCCTGCCAATGTCAACAGTGCCCTGGCAGATGTTATCGCCGTTCTGGCTCAAATGGTTCCCATCGAACGTTTTGATTCCTGCACTTGTCACACAGAAATTTAAGTTTGTGTTGCAGTCAAATGGTCAGTGAACATACAGTAAATCCCTGCGCACATGATGCCCTCCAAAGAAGGGTCCCAATTAAGTTTCGCACCCTTTTCTCCAGCCACAACCTTCATAATACTTGCTCGTGTGCGATTCCTCCTCGAAGTTGAAGATATCATCAGGGGGTTCTCGATGTAGCAGAGGGTTTTTCCCTCTGTAGCCTGAAGAACCGCAAAGAAACCCGAAACAAGTTTGGTACTCAGAAACCATGGCTTCCAGGGGGATCCACACGCACACACACACACAGCCTACTCGCAGAGAAGTTGCAACCCAAATTTCAGGTCTACGATTTTCAGCTCAAATTTCAATTTGCCTTTTTCTCTTCGATGATGGTGCTCTTACTGTGCTTTTTATTAGTTGGATGTTCTGACTCTCGGGCCAGGTGTGGCTGCTTGGTTACTTGGTTGCTTGAGACCAGGTTGGTTTCATTCCATTCGCCCCCAGCCAGGTACGGTAGTGCGCTGCAGTCGGTGCCTGAAATCTCGCATGTCTCGCAGTCGCAATTGGGTTGGGCGGTTTCCATTTGGCTTGCCTGAGCCAACCCCAAAAAATATATCCTCCGAAAAGACATCATTGTATTCAGATGATCGAAAATCGCGGATTGTGCTGCCAAGGCCGGCTCACATGAAAACCTTTCTCCCCGAGAACAACTTAGTGGGTGGAAATCTTGCTTGGTTTCATTTCTTATATATGCATTCCAACAGAGAAACATTGAACAAGACCCCCCCCGGACCTAGATAGATTTGCATGACCTGCATTGCTGATGCAAGTTGTTTTGGTAGCTCGCAGCGAAGCACGTCAGAGCCCAAACGGCAGGACCGCCAAGGATTGCCCAGGCAGAGGTTTTGACCCTGTGCAAGTTTAGATGCAGGACTGACAGCAGCAGGTTGTCAGCGTTCGCATTGTCAAGCGCGACAGAAACACACTGCAAGGCCAAGCCTTGGTCAGAACCCGCGAAAGCTGAAGGAGGCTTTCATGAATGCGTGTCAGTGTGTTCACTGGTGGAATTTACTGATGCAGATAGCCTAAATGTTTACAACAACATCGCAGTTGTACAGACACGTCTAGAAAGACAGGTTATGTATTGCAGCAACCGTCTCGCACTCTAAGCCCTCGCTCTATTTTGTGGGTAGAGGGCCGTGCAATAAAGTAAATGCTGTAACAACGAAGACACGCGTCAGACTTAAGTGCGCGATTGCCAAGCAGCCAAAACGTGTAGCCTGTGCTTTGGTTGCCTGAACCTCGTCACTGGCAAATGTCCGGCATGCTTTACCTTGAGGCATGCCCAACGACGTATCCAGATCACTTCCAGGCGCAGCTTGTTTTTGGCACGAGGTGCTGCCGGCATTGCTGCTGAACATGAGCACAACAAGTACGATGATTCTGTGGAGAGTTCGATCAGTTGGCACGTTCCAGTTCCATCTAACGAAGCGATATTGCAGCAGGACCACAATGAACAAGCTTGGAGGAACAGCGCGTTTCAACTTCTTTTCAGAATTGGATCGGCCAGACATGTCAGAATGGTACATATCATGACTAGGCTGCATTTTTTTGTCAGAGACGCCGCTATTGTACACTGCCCGAGATATCCAAGCTTCTGTCATCACTTGGACGCCTCCAAACGGATGCGATGTTCTCGCTTTCTAGCGGCGAGTCCGATGGCCTGCGTTCTGAGACAAGCTGATGCTCAGCATATCTGAACTTTTTCCATTAACAAGATTCTGGCTTGCATACTATGTGGGTGTGTCTTTTTGGGGGTACCGTTGCCAGTGCTGCAGCTAGGAAGGCTGCGGAGGAGCCACATCTTGGCAGAGGGTTCAAAGTCCACAACCCCTTCAATCGGCTCGTATTAAGATGGCTCGGGTCTTGAACTGCTTCCGGTTGAGTTGTGTTGGTTTTATGTCGGTCTTGCTAAGCTGTTGTGCCATATCATACAGCGGTCTTGCATAGCTCCTACATCGCAAGTATCTCGGCGCCCTTTGCCATGAAAAGGGGATCCCGATTACCTAAAGCGAAGGTCCCACGAAAAACCGCGGTGCGTCGTGCCAAGATACATGGATGCGGTTCTTTTTGTTTGAGGCTTGGTACCCTTTTGTTTGTGGTTTTATGGGCAAACCAGGAGAACCGCCGTCCCCCAAAAAAGACGTGCCGCCTGCATGCTTCGTCAACACAGAATGGGCCACGTCGCGCCATGCAGTGACAGTGCCAGGAGCTCTGAGCATTGGCCCAGCGAGTAAAGGTCCCCAACTTAGCCTTCCGCTGGCTCAGGCAAACTTGTTTCTCGCGATTCATTTCAGTCCATGAAACATATCACCTGCCCTTGATGGAGCAAAACTCGTTCGCCGTGATCTAACGAGGGTATCCCGTGAGATTCCAGCACAGTCGCCGACCCCCAACACCCTTTTGCATCCACCTGGCGCGTGGAGGTTCATCCACATGTGTGGGTTGCTTGTTTATCTTGAACCAAGCTCAGCCCAAACTGCTTGAACCGCACATGTTGCAGCGGGTGACCCTTCATGGCTAGCTGAAGAGGCGCAAAACCATCAGCCAACCACTGAAGGCCCACGTTAGAAGTTCGAAGAAACTACTACTGCAAGCAAGCTGCAAATATGGCTGAACAATGTATCCTTGCAAAGACTTTGCTTGGTGGTAAAATTTGCTCAAGTCGCTGTTGGTGGTGTTGCTTCCATTTACCTCGCTGTCTGCGCTCAAGCCAGACTCACTGCAATCAGGTTTTCCTTGCGAGTATGAATAAGCATTTGGGCAACTCGTAGGCACTGCGCTGACCGGGATGTTTGCGACTTCGCTATGGTTGTCATCCCGGATCCCTGAGCACGGATTTGCACGACAAAGCATTCAGCTCTTGGAATGAGATTTGATGCATTTGGCGCTGAGCGACGCAATGGCGGGGATCGTGGCCGAGGTCCAGGCGAAGGCGAGATGGGAAGGGAACTCCAAAAGAAGCAATTGTTTTCAAACTCCCACAAAGCACACAAAGGGGAGTGACGACGTTTCTGTCACAGAACCACTATTGCCAGCATTTGATCCAGGTCATCCAGACAGTTGTTGCACTCATTGGAGTCCCTTGGTTTGCTTCGCCGCAGGTCATCGCAGTGATGACCCATGAAGCCTACCTGCCGTGCGTTATGTTGACCATCGCGGTTGCCACTTGGCTCATGTCTGATCGCAGATATCTCTTCCAATAAAACCTCTTCGCAGACAAGCCCCAAGCTGCACAAATCCCCAACTCATCGCCTGCGCTCCTCCTACGGGTGTGAAAATGCAGTTGATAGCCAAAGACAAGCAGGGACAGCATGGATTAGTACTAGACACCAACTGATAAACATCATTGTTCTACATGGTGGAGTCTTACCTTGGCTTACCGCTAATCTTTGATTGCCAACTGCGGGGGGGGGGGGGGCGAGGGGGTGCACGCGGCCCATGCATAACCATCTTGCAAAGTGGTCCCGGTGAGGAAGTATTGTTCGGTGAACGATTTACATAGCTGTCGTTTGGCACCCGGAGTGTGAGAGTGGGTAGGGAAATTATGGTTTTGTGTTGGATGACAGGGGAGCTACGGAAAGAAAAAGAAAAATCAAGGCATGGATGTACTTGGAAGCGCAGTTTTGAATACCTGGGCTGCGGGCTTTGTAGCACGGTTACTTCTTGGAGGCGGTTGCTAAGAGTGTTTGTCTTAGTTGTTCCCGGTTTTTGCTGGGCTTTTCCCAGCTTGTAGCTTTTCTCGTAAGACATTTAAAGAGCGCCCTTTGCTCAATGAGGAAATTGGGCACAAGTCAAGCCAAACGGAGGGGTCCCCCCCTATTTTGACACACCCAAGGATCCGTGAAAGCGTCTTACCCCCAGCGAGGTGTGGCTCGGGATCGCGGTGGAACTGTGCCGTACGAGGCGCCGCTCGGTCGAGATGGGGCCGGGCCGGGCCTGGCTGACGGAGTTGTACTTCCCGCCGAAGTTCGTCCCATCGCTGGAGACGGTGACCGAAGAGGCGGGGCTGTGTGGTCCATTTTTCCCGAAAACACTGTGAAGGCTCTTCCGGAAACATCGCTGGCGAACTCGCACGAGCGCACTTGCGCGCGAGAAAGCTATAAATTTATGTTTTCAGGCGGCACGGTGGGACCGGCGTGGTCCATGTGGAAAACCTGACGACGTTTCTCGAGGCGCTGCTTCGTGCGCACACACCGAAGCGTTATCAGAGAAGAATGCGCGCAACAAAATATGCGCTCTTGCGCACAGCAACTTGAGCAAGCCGCAAAGAGCGCTTGCACGGCGCACTTCCGCAGAGCAGCTGTCACAGAGCAACTCGCGCAGAGGAGTTGCGCAGCGTCTTATTCTTTTGTTTCTCGATCCTTATTCCGTTTTTGTTGGTTCGCATTCTTTGCAACAAGGGGGCATGGTTGTCCGTAGCGAGCACCGGGGGTTTGGTCTGCGCCTGACTCTTAAAATTCGCTTGGGGGGGTTGGCTGGGATTCCTGTAAACGAACCCACTTGATAACGGGTGTATACCTCTTTTTGGGCAGAGGGTATTGTATGCACATTGGCAAGCCTCAAAAGGAGAAGTTTTCCTCCCGAAGGCAAAGAGAAGGGAACCAGAAGCGGGGTTTTGTTGGGGAGGGAACATCGTCTTGGCCTAATTGAAGTTCATTAGGGGTGGTTTGGGCCCATTAAGGCAAGCGAAGCATTGTGGCAGATCCTTACAGTTGCTCGTTGGTGGGCGCTGTTCGTTTCAAATGCCACTGCAGACTGAAAGAGTGGCCTTGAGGAGAGCTCCCAACATGAGGCCCTGATTTTCCTGCAACCGTGGCCAAGGGCGAGTTTTGGGGTGTGGCAACGGCAATCAACCGCCGATCACGGGGCTTCCCCCAAAGGAACGGTGTCTTCCAAAACTTTCAAGTTAGTTTTCAGGGCAATATTGGTGGTATGTAAGCATCCGAACTTCCATGACCCATACCTGAAAACAGCCTTGATTGTTGGAGCGAGCGCAATGACAATCAACCGCCAGGAGTTTGAATATACCTTGGAGCAAGAGTGGCACAAAGAGCAGATGCTTTGCGTGGAGAAGGGCGTTGAGCAGAGGGAGGCGTTTTTGATCCTCGGCGCAAAATCCAGACGAGGCTCCCTATATTTCCTTTTTGTATTGTAAAGCAGCGCTGTGAGTTTTCCAGGGCTTTGATGTTTTAAGGGAGAACTCCCCCGCAAATTGAGTAAAGCGAAACCGCACCCGACCCACATTCCAAACCAATCGAACCCCTCAGGCCGTGTTTTCGGGGGATTCCCTGTTCCATGATCGCTCGAGAGGGCGCTTATGCAGACTTATTCAATCTATTTGTACACATACTGGTGTATGCATAGTGCGTGTATATATAATAGATACATACATTGAACGCCGCCAGGTTGAAAACCCACCCTGATTGAGCTTAGCAGAAAGCAAGCGGGTAAAGGTGTGCCGTTGGATGCCCGTATCAGGATACTAAAAGGGCCCAAGAGCCAATCTTTGGGTTGCTGAAAGGCCTTTTTTGGGTATGGTCCGTGCATGGGCAAGGAAAATAGGCCCAGCAACATAGGAACCCTGCTATGTTCTGATACAACTGGGCAGGTGTGTTTGGGCCTTTCTGGCGAATCGCAGTGATTCCACCTGCCGAGTGGGTTAGACATCCAGGTGCCCCTTTTTGTTTGCAAAGGCATGGGCGACGCGGAAAGTCGGAACTGAGGAACAGCCGTGAACACGAGCTTCAGGCAAGGCTACTGGAGATGGAGACTTGGTCGAAAGACATGTGCAGGGTTGGGTCGACCACTGTTCAATCAAACACGTGCTGCCCAACGCTGACATGCAGCTTTGTCGGCCTTTAGACAAGGCAATCCCTTGAAATCGCCGCGTTTTCTTGTTCCAACTTTGGCTTTTGCAACCTGTCGGGCTGTTTTCCCGTTGGAAACCTGGCTAAGGAGCAGAGCGCGGAGGAACTGCAGTCAGGCCGGCATTTCAGGGCCCATGCAAGAAAACACACACGCAGAGGGACACCCATAGTCACTGACAAGAAATGACTGACGGTGCTTCGTTCTTGGTGGGTGGGGGGGATGTTCGGCGAAGACCAGGAGCCCGCCCAGTTTTCCATGTCCACCATGAGTGGCATCCATGATCAAATGCAACCTTTTGGGTGTTGGTCCAAAGGTGGGGCATTGAGGTCAGGATCGGGATCCCCTGCTGGAACATGAGTTCGTTGACAAGTCCGGGACCAATAACAGAACCTGGTTCAAAAGAGCGGTCAAATCCCAGAATCCGTTAAATGTAAGCAAGTTGCCCGGTTCTTAGTTTCTTCGACAGTGTTTTCCTTGTTTGGTTCTCTGGTGTTTCCTTGATTTTTCTTCTTCCTTCGAAAGGCCAGCCAACTGGGGGCCACTTTGTGGACCTGCCTACATAACAAGGGTGCCCCTTCAGACTCCTCTTCAGGGAGAATGTTCCGGCTGAAGGTGAGCCCCTCCCTCCCTCCCTCCCTCCCTCCCTCCCTCCCCTCCTATGCCAGGAATGAAGGCCAAGTGCCTCTCCCTCACCGATGTCGCCCTCAGCGACCTGCCGGAGGAACAGCGAGCCGAAACGGCGCTCTTTGGGTCTCGACTGGGGGCGGTGAGTTTCCCAGACCTCCAGTGGGGCATGTTTCCCCTTTCCGAAGCAACGGTTGCCCAATGCGGGTGCCCAATAGATGATGTGTCCGTCTCCTTGCTAAACTGATCCATGCCCATTTCAACAAACCCTAGTATGGACGCTTGCTGTGCTGAAGCTACCGGTTTCAAAGTTGGTTCAAAGAAAGGGAAGTCAAATCGAAAGCCGCGATTTTGTTCGGGCCCCGATTTTGACACGCACACGCACACACACACACACACCCACGCACGCACGCACGCACGCACGCACCCAC